AAATGTTTACAGCAGATTGTCAAAGCAGTGCAACAACTGTTCTCTTGTAAGTTTTTGCTAGTTTTGTGTTCAATAACCTCTTCTGCTAGTTTTCTCTTCTTCTCAATTTTACGCTCTATTTTGCTTTTACGCTCTCGCTGCAATGTTTTACTGGAGAAGTTACTATACAAACCTAATGTTACTCGCATACTTTCGAGCCTGTATGTAAATTTTCGGGAAAAAGGTTAAAAAGTATATTCATCTGCTGAAAAGATATTTTCGCAGATTCACAATTTATTTAAAATAAATCTATCAGCCCTATCTCCAATTCTATGTGTATAAATCTCTCCAGTGCTTAAATAATTTTCACCACATTAAATAGCTGCACAACACCCTAATTGCCGAAAAAGCGTTGCTTGCAACACTAGTACTTTATGGGGACCAAACTTGGCGAAAAAAAATAGCTAAGTTTGTTTACTGGATATACTGAGGTTTGTACTGTTCAACTTCCACAGGCGGTTAGTTGAATCAAAAGTTCACATCATTTAACTGAATGTTGAAGAATGTAAACTCCTTTTAAATACAATAAGGGTATTCATCAAACCTTATAAATGCATTGTAAACCGTATAAACTTATAATTGTGTAAACCTTATAAATGAACTGTCAAAATTTGTATGGAAACTCGTTTACACATTTCTGATAAATTTATCCAGCGATTTCACTGAATAAACTTGATAAACTGAAGACAATGCAACTCTGTCGCAACTCTAGCTATGTTTTCTTAGGCAATAATCGGGATCCGCATACAAATTTTTCACGCAAATTAAACAACGATATGATCCTGATAGAGATCTGGTTCAATTATTATCCCGTCAGTTTGTTTTGTTTCACTGATAATTCGCAAAGTTTGGTAGCCGTGACAAATGAATTCATACACAAACAGACATTCTGCCATTGTTTCTTATAACTTGCTTCAAATAAATAGCCTTTATGTTATATGTACATTTATTTAAATAGATATCTCGTAAATATAATTTTTCCAATTTAGTGAGATAGTTTCTATAATTTCTTTATCCCCGTGCTAGTAGTATAAAGTTAGTGACACTGCGCTTTATAACCAAAGAAAACACGACTATTGTCGCATGTGTAAACGAAAAGAGTGTGTGGGTCGTTCATGTAACAGAGTGCATAAACTTATAAGATTATCTGCTTGATAAAGTTATCGGTTTAGATAAATACCACTAATGATTATGTACGATTATGAAATAATAATATTCTGAACGAAATTTTTAGAAAAGTTCATCACTGCTAAAAGACTTGGAAAGGAGGACAAGGAGGACATTTTTGCTCA